TTTCTGAGGACCAGCTGATAAGTTTGAACCACCTAGCTTGTGATTCACAGTCCGGTGCTTATCCTACAGAGCCACACCAGAAGTCCCATACTGAACTTAGTGCTTCTGTTTTACCTCCTAGCTCGTTACATAGTTTCTAGGGTGTTAAAAGCTTGCAAGCAGTCACCCATGGAACAACAATCTGCCTCTGTTTTCCAAGAGCAATGGAGGAAGAAAGAGAGCCAGGAATAGGAAGAAAAAATGGAATGGGTGGCGAATTGACTCCGTAAAACAATTTCTCGTTGGCCACAAGACCAGAACTAAATTGTGCCTATATACCGTCACTCAACATTTTGATAAAAAGTTCTGTAGAAGAATTCTGATTTTAAAAAAAGATGAAATGCAAAACAAAATTTCAAATTCTTATGGAATCCAGATTTTTCAGAGACATGAAAGTCAGAAAATCCCCAGAAACTACTGCCCTGAGATAATCTGTAAACCTTAAATCAAAAATATTCCCTGTAGTCTTCCTAAAACCAAACAATAATTTAGCGTATTTAGTAAAGAATGCATGCTTTAAGTATTGCATTCATTTAGGATCTACCTATATTGGGACCAAGTTGACAGCGATAACTTGAAAAATGAAATAGGAAATCTAATGGGCAGAAAATCTATGTCAATGGGGAAGAAACAATTCAGAAAAAATAAAATTGGAACCAGTAGACCCTGGTTATATACTGAGGGTTAAACGCTCAGTGTTTTTTTTTGGCTTCTCTTGTCATGTAGTCTTCCATATCTTTTCAGTCTCTTCTTTCTCTCCTTGGCCCTTAAATATTCATACTACTCAGCACTTACCCAACACTTCTTTTCATTCATTATTTGTATTAAGTTACTACTGTCAACAGTATCTTTTGACGTAATTGCTTCAGACCCATTTGTTTGCTGGAAAATCCTGAAATATTCTTCTCAACTAAAGTGAATTTGTCCTAATTAGCTCCTTACCCAGTCTGGAATTATTTCTGATATATGACTTTGTCTATAGAATGGTGATTAACTTAACTTTTACTCAGTATATCTTCAAGCTACATCCATTTTATAGCATGTATCAAGATTTCATTTATTTCTGTTACTTTTTGTTGTTGTTAAATGCCATCAAGTTGGTTCCGACTCATAGCGACCCTATATAGGGTTTCCAAGGAGCGGCTGTTGAGTTTGAACTGCCAACCTCGTGGTCCACTCGTGGTCCAGGGTATTATCCTGCAGCACCACACCAGGACTCCATATTTGTCTTACTGTGTTATATTTTATTATATGTATATACCACATTCTATCTATTCATTTATCCGTGATGCACATTTAGATTGTTTTCTCCCTTTTGACTGTTGTGAATAGAAGTGCAATGAACATTGGTGTACAAGTATCTGGTTTTTGCTTTCATATCTTTTCAGTATATTCTTGGGATTAAGAATACTGTTGGGTCATATACTCATCATGTGTTTAGCTTTTGGAAGAGCTGTCAAAGTATTTTCCAAAGCAGCTGTACCATTTTTACATTCCCTCCAGCAATGCATAAGGGTTCCAATTTCTGCACATCTTTGCCAACACCTATTACTCCCACTCATAGCAACCCTGTATAGGATTTCCAAGGAGCAGCTGGTGAGCTTGAAATGCTGACCAATCAGTCCAGCACTTTAACCCATAACACCATACCAGGACTCCATTGCCATGTTAGTGGGTGTGAGTTAGTATCTCATTGTCATTTCAATTTGTATATCTCTAAAGACTAATGGGAACACTGGTGTGGTGCTGTGGGTTAATGTACTGGACAGCAAGGTCGGTTCGAACTGCAAGGTTGGCGGTCCAGTATGTACAGCTGCTCCTTAGAAACCCTATATAGGGTGACTGAGTTGAAAATGATGGCACTTAACAACAACAGCAAAGACTAATGCTATTGAACATCTTTTCATAGGCTTATTTGTCATTTGTAGATTTTCTTTGGTGAAGTGCCTGTTCAAGTCATTCATCTGTTTTTTAATTGGGTTGTTTGGCTATTTGTTGTTGAGTTGTAGGAGTTCTTTATATACTCTGAATAATAGTCCTAATTAGATGTTAAGTTTCCAGATAATTTGTTCCCCAATCAGTGGGTTGTCTTTTTGTTTTCCTGATACATCCCTTGATGAACAAAAGTTTTTAATATTGGTGAAGTTGAATTTATCTTTTTCTCTTGTTGCTCATACTTCATTAAAGTATCACAGTCTCATATTCTTGATACTTTAATGAAGAAAAATGTTGCTGCTGTCTTTAAGTATATTTCTTTACGTATTAAAACAACTTTTAATAATCGTACCATAGTCTGTTATTCTCACTGTCAATTGATATTTAATAGCTTTCTTTTAAGATATATGCTGGTAAATGAAATATTTTTCCATAGCCTTTAGTGGTTATGCAGGTAGTTATAGAGAGAATACGATATGTACACTTTAATATTCAACATAGTAATACTGGAAGATTGAAGCAATTTAAATTGGATTCGTTTCAGAATAACATTTCAGAATCAGTTAACAACATTAGCAACATCACTTTCATACAAATGTATGGTAATGTGGTATGAAAGAAGATCCTCATTCAAATCTTGTTGCTAAACAAGTGACAAAAGCCTTACAAACAGCTTGAGGTTTCAGGCCAGTCACAATTATTCCTGAAGAGAGTTGGACAAGTGTGAAAATATATAGACTGTTCCTTTATTGTGATCAAAGCACATAAATGCTATTTCCCATCAATTTCCTGCTAAGGATTTTTTATGTATATTAGAGAAAATAATCTTAAAACGGTATAATGTCTCAGGATTCTATTATACATTTCTCCAATGAATTAAAAATAATGGATTTGTTACATTCGGAAAGTGAACATTTGATAATAGCCATTATATTTGTATTTTCCAGAAAAACACTGTGGATTTGGCCAATTAACATGCTTTCATTAGACAGAATTTATAATATTAATGATTTCTTTTAGACATAATCTGAGTTAGCTAGTCTGGTGTAAGTACAGTGAGGTTACCACAGAGTTAAAACGATGCAAGAGAAGCCAGTCCCTGCTTCAGCAATCCCGTTGAACATGGCAATTCTTTCAAAGAAACCTTTAGCCAGATTTAGCCATTTTGGATTCATTATATGCAGATATCCCTTTTGTAGATTGTTGTTGTTGTTAAGTACTGTTGAGTCTGTTCCAATCTATAGTGACCCTGTATTGGGTTTCCGAGGACCAACTGGTGAGTTTGAACCACCAAACCTGCAGTTCAACTGACTTTGCACTGTAGCGCATTAACCCATAGCACCACAACAGAACCTGTTTGAAGACATGGAACCAACTCGACAGTACTTAACAACAACAATATATATATATAATATTGTTGTTGTTAAGTACTGTCGAGTCAGTTCTGACCCATAGGGACCCTGTATAGAGTTTCCAAGGAGCAGCTGGTGAGCTTAAACCACCACCCTTGCAGTTCAAACATCTTTGCAGTCAGGTGCATTAACCCACAGCGCCACACCAGGCCTCAAGGAAGGCTTACAATTGTCGAGTCCCATATCCCCAGCAGAAGAGACAGGGACAGTCTTTCCCATGTATTAGGAGCAGGCCACATCCCCAAGAAAACCTCCTTTCAGTTGATTGGCTACACACTGCCAATCATCAGAGATGGACTGCAAGGTCAGTTTGAACTGCAAGGTGTTGATTCAAGCTCTCCAGCCACTCCTCGGAAACTCTATACAGAGTGGCTCTGAGTTGGAACCAAACCTTGATGGCAGCAGTAATGTGTGTGTATTTATAATTTCACTGGATTTGCTTCTCTAGAAAATCCAGCCTAAGACATTATCCTTAAAGGGGCATATTACATGTCACTCATAATGTAATGTACCACACACACTAAATTGATTGAACTTAAGTCATTTCTTGGATCCTTTGTCCTTGTTTTCCTGTTTGCTCTTCTACCAGTTACCCTTCAAATATGGGCATGATGCTGCAAATGGATGCAGGTATCTATGCTATAGTGTTGTTGTTCCCTTAAAGCACACCTAATGAATATTTTATGCATTTAACAAATCTTCATCATTTTTTGTTAGCTTGTGGTTTAAAATACTTTTGCTCTTATATACATTATAGACACTTATGCAGCATATATGTACATATGTGTCTATACACACATATACACAAGAAAAAATTACAGCTGGTCTAGTTGTTGCTGGAGGATGGCATGAGGGTTTTCTGGATTGGTAGTTCCGAGTATGTAGGATACCAAAAGGACCAGTAGAATTCTGTAGACAAACTATGAAAACAGAAATTCAAAAGAAAACCATTTGAAATTTCTGGGGAATCTAAGAGCAGAGTTGGGAATGAAATGAGAGCCCTGTTAACAGACCTGAGACTCCAGAACAGAGTTATCTTGTGCCATCAGATTGGGGTCCACCAAGTTTATTTACTGTATTCTAAGAAGAAATGCGGAGATTAGACAGCAATATCATAATTTTTTGGTAACTAGAAGCAAATTCCCTTTACTCTTTTCATTCACTCACCATAGAAGAGGCTCTCTTCTCTGTTAGAAATCTTACTCAAACTCTACATCCTGCCTATCTCCACAAAGCCTCCTCATCCCCTTATCTTAAAAGCCATCTTTTATTTCTCACAAGTCTTCTCTTTTATTTCTACAAAAAGAATGCCGTTGATCTTATTCTTTTACTAGTGTTACATGTCTTGCAGTGAATATTTCCAATGTGCCAGGCACAATCTAGATAATAGGTGTTCAGTGAATGATAATTTCATTAAATACGTTGTTTGGTTGTTAGTGCCATTGAGTTGGTTCTGATTCCTTGCAACCCTATATAGGGTTTCCAAGATATGGTTGGTGAGTTTGAACTGACATCCTTAGTGTTAGCAATCCAGTGCTTATCCTACAGCACCACACCAGAACTTCTAATATAATTATAGCAGTATTTATTTTTCTTCCAAATTTTTTATTTCAGATTTTACCAAATGTTGCAAGGATTCTGGAATCCTCATGGTAGTAAAATGCCGGAAAGAAAATTCTGCAATGAAAGACTGTCTAACTGCTTAGTAAGTAGTTACCTCAGTGTTTGTCCTGTGGTCTATCTGCACACACGCACCCAGAAACACACACATAATTGGTTAGAGTATGTTGTTTGTTAACTTAATTACCTATAATGCATGTATACCACTCCCCTTACCAAAATCATCACAGCATTGGCTAAGTCAAAAATTTGAATTTATTAAAATTTTTCTAAAAGAAGAAAAAACAATGTAATGTAGTGATGAAAGGATCTTTTCAAGTTATTTTGCCAACTTTTATCTGAGTAAAAATATTATGACAATATTTGACAATGGGTTTTTTTATCAACAAGTTTATTTCTAGAATTCAGTATAGATTTATTTTTATTTCTTTTAATGGAAAGGTACAGAATTAGAATCTCTAAGACCTTTCCAACCTTGTGATTTATTAGTGTCGCTTAACTTATAGAGGAGCTGGGGCAAATTAAATGAAGACTAAAGAAAAAAAGCAACAGCACCACTTAACAACAATAAAAACTAAAGCTATTGAACATCTTTTCATAGGCTTATTGCATATTTTCTTTGGTGAAATGCCTGTTCAAGTCCGTTTTCCATTTTTTAATTGGACTGTTTGGCTTTTTGTTGTTGATTTGTAGTTTATAGTCTAGATAGTAGCCTTTACCAGACGTTAAGTTCCCAGATATTTGTCTCCCAGTCAGTGGGTTGTCTCTTTATTTTCCTGATAAATTCCTTGATGCACGAAAGTTTTTAATACTGCTCAAGTCCAGTTAATCAATTTAACTTTAACAATAGTTCTTAAACAGCATGTATGTCATTGTAGTTCTTCAGATCTTAAAGTGAAATTATGCAAAGTTCCTTGAATGCAGAAACTTGAATGCTGTCTATTTTATCTGATGGTTTATTACACTGAGAAAGAGTCCTGCTGCACTAAGTGTTGTTATTTGATAGATAGAAGTGTCATCCGAGTGTTGGTGCCCATTACTTCTTCTAGACTTTGCTTTCTTAACCTGGGTAGCATATATGCCGGTAAGATATCATGTATTTTAAAAGATTAAATGAAACAGATTCTCTGAATCCTATGTGCTTTCTATTTAAATAGCAAATAATGTACGCTTAACCTTTTATCGATTGTTTTAGAAATGGGACAGCCGTTAGGTGAGGAAACATGCTCAATTTGCACGTTGTTGTTGTTGTTGTTGTTAGGTGCCATCAAGTTGGGTCAGACTCCTAGTGCTCCTATGAACAACAGAACAAAACACTGCCTGGTCTTACACCATCTGCACGGTCATTGTTATGCTTGAGCCCATTGCTGCTACCACTCTGCCAGCCTATTCTGTTTGGGGTCTTCCTCTATTTTGGTCACCCGCCGCTTTACCTAGCATGATGTCCTTCTCCATGTCCTTCCTGATAACATATCCAACGTATGAGTGACAAAGTCTTGCCATCCTGGCTTCTAAGGAGTATTCAGGCTATACTTCTAACACAGATTTGTTTTTTTGGCTGTCCATGGTACTATTACTATTCTTCTCCACTACCATAGTTTAAAAGTGTCAATTCTTCTAGGGTCTTCCTTATTCATTGTCCAACTCACCCATGTATATGAGGCTATTGTATATAGTATGGCTTGGGTCATGCACACCTTAGACCTCTAACTGATATCATTGCTCGTGAACACTTGAAAGATGTCTTTTCCAGTAGATTTGCTTATTGCAATACATCCTTTGCTTTCTTGACTGCTGCTTCCATTAATGTGGATTGTGGATCTAAAGCAAAATGAAGACTTTGACAACTTTGTTTCTCCATTTCTCATGATGTTATTTATTGGTCCAGTGGTATAGAAGAAATAATGCACTCTCCATTGAGGTGCAATCCATACTGGAGACCATAGACTTTAATCTTCATCGGTAAGTAATTTAAGTCCTCTTCACTTCCAGCAAGCAATAAATGGTAATGCGTAATTGGTATATGAGTTTTCCTCCAATCCTGATGCCATATTCTCCTTCATATAATCCAGCTTCTCTGAGTATTTGCTCAGCATACAGACTAAATAAGTGTTGTCAAAGATCACAACCCTGGTGCATACCTTTCCTGATTTAAAACCATAATGTGTTCGAACGACTGCCTCTTGGTTCTTCATGATCACATTTAAATGTTAAGGAATACCCATTCTTTACAATGTTATCCATAGCTTGTGATGGTCTACACAGTCAAAAGTCTGTCCATAGTCAATAAAGCACAAGTAAACATCTTTCTGGTACCTCTGCTTTTAGCCAAGATCCATCTAATGTCAGCAATGATATGCCAAATTCCACATCCTCTTCTGAGTATGGCTTGAGTTTCTGGCAGTTACCCATCGATATACTGTTTTTTTAAAAATAATCATCAAAATTTTACTTGGAAGTGATATTAATATCATTCAGTGAATTCCCCATTCTGTTAGGTCATCTTTCCTTGTAATGAGCACAAATATGGGTCTCTTCCAATCAGTTGAATATCAAAATTTCTTGGCATAAATGAGTGAGAACTTCCATTGCTTCATCAGTTTGTTGAAAGATTTCAGGTTGTATTCTGTCAATTCCTGGAGCGTATTTTTCACCATTGCCTGTTTTTCATTGCAGTTTGAACTTCTTCCTTCAGTACCATTGGTTCTTAATCATAAACTAACTTTTGAAATGATTGAACATCATTCATTTATTTATGGAACAGTAACTGTGTATACCTTCCATCTTCTTTTATGCTTTTTGCATCTTTCAGTATTTTGCCCATGGAATCCTTCAGTGTGCAAGTCAAAGCTTGAATTTTTTCCTTCGTTCTTTCAGTGTGAGAAATGCTGAGTGTGTTCTTCTCTTTTGGTTTTCTAATTCCAGGTCTTTGCACATTTCATTTTAATAGTTAACTTTGCCTTCTCAAGCTGTCTTTGAAATTTTCTGATCATCTCTTTTGTTAATACTTATTACTTCCAGTTGCTTTAGCTACTCCTGGAGGATAAGAACTCAACCCCAAGGTCAGTTTGAACCACAAAGTCGGTGGTTTAAAATCAGCAGCCACTCCTCAGAAACCCTATGCAGGATCAGTGAGTCACACCCAACTCAATGGCACTTAACAACAAAAACATCAGAAGCAAATTTCAGAGTCTTTTCTGACATTCACTTTGTTTGGTGTTTTCTTTCTTTCCTTTTTTAAAATGACCTTTTGCTTTCTTCCTCTGTGAAGTCCTTGATGTCATGCCACAGCTTTTCTGGTTTTGTGTCAGTGTCTCATGCTTCAAGTCTGTCCTTGAGATGGTCTGTAAATTCATTTGGGATATGCTCAAGGTCATATTTTTTGCGTCTAGTGAACTTCTTTTCATTTTCTTCAGCTTCATTCTGAACTTGGATATGAGCAAATGTTGGTCTGTTCCCTAGTCCACCCCAGCATTGTTTTGGCTGATATTGAATTTTTCCACCATCTAGTCCCTCAGATGTAGTCAGTTTGATTATTGTGTGCTCCATCTGGTGAGGTTCATGTGTAGTTAGTTACCTTTTATGTTGTTTAAAAAAGGTATTTGCACTGAATAAGTCATTGGTCTTGCAAAATTCTATCATGCAATCTCCATTATTTCATCACCAAGGCCATATTATCCGAATACTGATCCTTCCTTTTTGTTTTCAACCTTTGCATTCTAGTCATGGGTAATTGTCAGTGCATCTTGAGTGCATGTTTGCTCAATTTCACATCGAAGAAGTTGATAAAATTCTTGAATATCATCATCACTTATTTTCTTAGTTGGTTCATAAATTTGATAATGTTAACTTGTTTTTCTTGTAGGCGTGTAGATATCATCACAGATAGCATTGCATTTCAGGATATATGTTGAAATGTTCTTTTTGATACTGAATGCTACTCCAGTCCTCTTGAATTTGTTGTTCCTCGCGTAGTAAACCACATGCTTGTCATAATGAAAATGGCTAATACCAGTCCATTTCAGTTCACTAATGCCTAGGGTATCAATCTTTATTCATAACATTTTTTTTCCCACAGCTTCCATTTTTTTCTAGACTCATACACCATATATTCCATGTTCTGATTATTAATGGTTATTTGTAGCTGTATCTCCTCATTTTGAATTGTGCCTCATCAGAAAATGAATGTCCCAAAAGCTCTATTCCAGTCTCTCATTATGGTCAACTCTCCTTTAAAGACACAGCTCTTTCCCAGTCATGTTTTCAGTGACTTCTAACCTGAGGGTCTTACCTGCTGGCACTATAACTGACATTTTCTGGTGGTATCATATTATATTTTGTTTTCTGAAACTATATCTTACAGTGTTCTTCTGCTAATCAAGGTTTTCAGTGGCCAAACATCAAGAAGCAATCTGCCTCTTTCCTTCTAGTCTGTCTTAGTCTGGAAACTCCACTGAAATCTGTCCACAATGGGTAATCCTGCTGCTATTTAAAATATCAATGGCATAGTTTCCAGCATCACAGCAAAACACAAGCCACCACAGTATGACATACTAGCAGACAAATGGTGGGCCCACATTACCAGTAATTAATAGTAATAGTACTAGCGATTGTTTTGGGGTCAGTACCAATGATAAATGGAGCTCTGGTAGCGTAGTGGTTACGAGTCGGGTTGCGAACCTTAAGGTCAGCGGTTCGAAACTACCAGCCACTCCGCGGGAGAAAGATGAGGCTTTCACCCTCGGAAACCCTGTACAGGGTCGCTATGGGTTGGAACCGACTCAACGGCACTTAACAACAACAACAACCAATGATAAACACTTTAGTCAGAAAGAAGTTCTTTCTGTGACTTAACTATTCTTTTAGTTCTATTCCCTAGTGCTCCAAGAGATGTTTAATGAATAATATTGAATTTGTTAAATCTGTTTAGTTATCAGTTAAGTAATCTCTATGCCTCAGTTTCAGGAACCATAATAAAATTGGTATTATTACTATTCCTCCTTCCAGACAGGGCAACACTAGAACATAGTGGATAGAAACACAGCCTGTGGAAAGGGCAACCTGGCTTAATTAGATCAGCCAAAATTTAGCTAGCCATGTGACCTTAGGCAGATTCCTCAGTGTAAAATAGAATAATTATAGCCTTGGAGTAATTATGAGGTAATACATGTAAACAGTTACCACGATGCCTTGGTCATAGTTGGTGTTCAGCTAGTGTTAACTCTTTTGTGATTTGTATTTGTTAGTGTTAACTTTTCTGAATAAAGAATATTAATAATCTTTTATACCCTGTAAATTGTTGTTGTTATTAGGTGCCATTCAGTCAGTTCAGTTCACAACAGAATGAAACACTGCCTGGTCATGTGCCAGCCTCATATTTTATATGTCTGAGCCTGTTCTTGCTATTTTCTCAGTCCATCTTACCGGGGGATTGTCCTCTTTTTGGCTGACCCTCCACGTTGCCAAGCATGATGCCCTTTTTCAGGAACTGCTCCCTCTTGGCAAAATGTCTATGGAATACGAGACCATTTCTTGCCATCCTGCCTTATAAGGCTCATTCTGGCTGTATTTCTTCAAGGACACATTCGTTTGTTCTTCTAGCAGTCAATACTTTCAGCATTGTTCACCAGCACTATACTTCAGATGTATCAAGTCTTCTATGGTCTTCCTCATTTATTGCCCAACTTTCACGTGCATTTGAGGGCACTGAAGAAAATAATAGGTTCCATCCAGTCCATTCTGAGAGTGTTGGTGGCACTGTCAGTGTTGAAATGCTAATCACAAGAAGACAACAAAGAAGGGAAATATCAAAATGGATGGCAGAAGAGACTCCAAAACTTGCTCTCCAGTGTAGCGATGCTAAAGCAAATGGAAGAAATGTAAAGGTAAACGAGCTAAATAGAAAATTGCAATGAACAGTTTGAGAAGACCAAGTAAAATATTATCACAAAATGTGCAGAGACCTGGAGTTAGAAAACCAAAGGGGAAGAATATGCTTAGCCTTTCTCAAGCTGAGGGAACTGAAGAAAAATTCAAGCATCGACTTTGCAGTATGAAGGATTCTGTGGTCAAAATGGAGCCCTGGTGTGGCGCTGTGGGTTAATGCACCAGACTGCAAAGCCATTTGAACGGCAAGGTCAGTGGTTCAAGCTCACCATCTGCTCCTTGGAAACCCTATACAGGGTCGTAATGGGTCGGAACCGACACTACGGCACTTGACAAGAACAACAAATGGGCAAAATATTGAATGATGCAGAAAGCATCAAAAGAACATGGAAGGAATACACAGAGTCACTTAACAAAATGAAATGGTTGGTCTTTAACATTTCAAGAGGTAGCATATGATCAAAAGTCAGTGATACTTAGCGAAGAAGTCCAAGGTGCATTGGCAAAGGCATTGGCAAAGGACAAGTCTTTGGGAATTGACAGAATACAAATTGAGATCTTTCAACAAACTGATGACGCAATTGTTATTGTTCAGTGCCATCAAGTCGGTTCTGACCCATAGGGGCATATTAATAGCATATTTATCATGTTGTTGTTGTTAAGTGCCATTGAGTTGGTTCCGACTCATAGTGACCCTGTGTAGGGTTTTGGAGGAACAGCTGGTAGATTTGAACTGCCGACCTTGTGGTTCACAGTCTACTGCTGATTCTACAGCACCACACCAGGAGTCCGTATTAGTCATAGTCATTTTAAATTTTTTGGCCTGATAATTTCAAAATCGGAGTCGTGGTGTAATTCTTTAGGAAAATACTGGAATGTTAACTGCAAGGTCAGGCAGTTCAAACCCACCAGCTGCAACTTAGAAACCCTATACAGGGTTGCTGTGAGTTGGAATGACTCAACTCTCTAAAACACTCCCACTCACAGTGGTGGTTGTGGTATTTGCCTGTTTTTCTCTTCATCTTTTGAGGTGGTGGCTTGCTTTAATACCTCAGTTCTCTGATGGATCTATAAATTGATGATTCTGGTTTGTCAGCTTTTTTCTTTTTGTATGGAAATTATATTCCTAAAATTTCTATGTGGCTTCCCTGATAATGCTCTTTTCTTCTTTCCCCAACATCTTTATTTACTGCTTCTCAGCCTTTTCTTCTTTAGCCTACTTTTAAAAGTTGTTCTACCTCTGGTTTCTGTTTTAATATGGGCAAGTTCAGTTTATACCTCTGGATAGTTACTTCCTGTGGGCCGTGCCATTCTCTGCCACTCACTATCATCAGGCCCAAAACTGAACTCAGCTGCTTGCCTCCCGCTCTAACGTAATCTTCATTATCTTCTAACTCTAATTAGTTATTTATTTTTTTCCCCTAAAGTCCCCCAGATCCATTTCTTTCGCCCCTTCCTTGTCTCAGTCCCGAGTTGTTTCTTATCATGGTTTGAGCCATGTTTGTCCATTCCAGCTGTGTCAGTTGTACACATCCACCTGGATCCATTTCCTCTCTTCTATGTGCTTTTCCTTGTGTGCCTTCTGCATTTGTTAGACCTTCAGAATGCAGCCTGTGACAGCCCTCCTCCTGCCTCCTTTCTCTGTTCCTTTCACGTTTCCATGTTGCTCTGTGTAACCTGTATCATAGTAGCACTTATTGTACATTCACAGTAACGCAGTCTTTACTATTTGCCCTGTAACACCATGTGATCCTTAAAGCTAGGTGGTGGTGTGGAGTCGGTTCCAACTTATAAGAGCAACTCTGTATAGGGTTTCCCAGGCTGAAAGCCACATCTTGTGCAGAATGATTGGTATTTTCGACCTGCTGACTTGAGGTTAGCAGCCCAACTCATAACCACTGTTCTAAATAATTGTTAAGTGCCGAGTCAGTTCTGACTCATAGCAACCCTGTATTGGGTTTCCAAGGCTGTAAATCTTTGCTGGAGTCTAATTTTTCCTCTGTGGAACAGCTGGTGGGCTCGAACTGGTGGGTTGGCAGTCCAGTGCTTAGCCTAGAGAGTGGTAACATTTCCAGGCTGAGCATGACAATACAAAAAAGGACCACTAAGCTTTTTTTCACAATTTTAATTTCGTTGCGTATGTTTACAATGAATTCGCAATCACTGCTGTCTAGTTTTAAAGATTGAGCAAGATGAGTTATGTGCCTGTGTGTTAATAATAAGATTATATTGAAAGCTTGCAGTTGTTAATTCATTTTAAAGACAGGCTTTTTCTTCTTTCTTTTTTGTAGTTACAATGATCCAGCCTTTTATGAAGAGTGCAAAATGGAATACCTGAGAGAAAGGGAAGAATTCAGAAAAACTGGAATTCCTACTAAGAAAAGGCTACAAAAGCTTCCCACAAGCATGTAGACCAAGTTTTAAATGACATTCAGCAACTCTAATATTTACAGAAGGCTCAATCGGTGTTATTAATGGAATCAGGATAAGGAGTATCTTTTTTACTTTATCCTAAATTATGGAAATGTTGATTTTATCTGAAATAAAGTTTGTTTTTTTGTTTTAAACATCAGAGTTCCAGTTTATTAAATGTGTTTGGAGTAATTAGTGGAATGAAATATGACTTTCTTGATCATTCTGGATTTTTAATAACATTTTCCAGAGTAGTCCTTTAACAGTGCTGCTGATTTTTTAAGTCCCCTGTGGATCTTATTCTTTACGATTGTTGTTAAGTGCTGTTGAGTCAGTTCTGACTCATAGTGACCCTGTACAGGGTTTCCAAGGAGTGGCTGGTGAGCTTGAACTGTCAACCTTGCGTTTTAAAGTGACCTTGCAGTCCAGAGCATTAGCCCAGTGTCACACCAGGACTCTTTACTATTGTATATACAGGTTAATCACATAAACAAAAGGGCCTAAAGGAAAGCAGGGATGGACAGCTTTCAAAGGTGCTAGTAACTAGACAGTATAGCAAAATGTATGAACATGAATCCTCCTGGCTTTAGCACTTTGTAGCCATGCAACCATGGATTGAGTCTCACATGCTTGTAGGGTTTACTGAATACTGCAAGTTAAGTGTTTAGAATAGTGCCTCCAACTTACTGTTAGTAGTAGTATTAGTGTAAACCCTTAGAAACATAAAGAGATAAGTACTTACATGAATTTTACTTACAGCTTTGCATTATGTTCCTTGACCTTTTAACTTTATTTAAAATACTTTTAACCTTTCATTTTAAAAGGCCTTCTTTAAAAGCATAAATTACCAATTTGTAACATAGGAATGGTCTCAGGAGCTAGTATAAGAAAATTCTGTCCCAATACAGTAATTAAAATTTGCTCCTTTTTCCCATTAACTCTTCCCTATAGTTATAATGGAGTCCTGGTGCGGTACTGTGAGTTAATGCAGTGGACAGCAAAGTTGGTTTGAACTGCAAGGTCGGCAGTATAGGCTCACCAGCTGCTAACCCCATAAAGGGTCGCTATGGGTTGACACTGACTTGATGGCATTCAATAACATAGTTTTACCTGCTTCTAACCAGTTTCAAAATTAGCAAATTTGTACATATTTATATGGTGGTTGTAGCAGTTGTGGTGTGGCATTCAGTTAGTTTCAACTCATTAACAGCTCTGTAGAGTTTCCGAAACAAGAAATCTTGACAGGAACAGAAAGCCTCATCTTCCTCTGACTTAACAGCTAGTAGAGTTGAACTGCAGACCCTGCGTTGCGCACTCTAACTTGTAACCACTACGTTGCCAGGACGCCTTCGTATTTATATGTTGCTGTTGTTGTTTGTTGTTATGTGCCGTTGAGTCGGTTCCGATCCATGGCGACCCCGTATAGGATTTTCGAGGAGCAGCTGGTGAGTTTGAACCGCCAACCTGGCAGTTCAGATGGCTTTGCAGTCTGGCACATTAACCCACAGCGCCATAGTCTTCATTAAAATCACAGGAATTCTACACATTGTGACAAGATTTAACTTTGGTCCCAATCCCATTATATAGATTTGAGAGATTAATTTATAATAAAAAATTAATAAGGTAAAGCAAATAGGCCCCTAAAGGACCAGTGGTTTCTTGATTTCATTTTACTCTTTAGTCAATCACTTAAAAAACTACCCTTAATTGAAATGGAAAGAAACCACATTTTCATACCTCAGAGTGTAAAAGGAGGGAAGGGGATTACTAAAACAGACAAAAGCAAAGTAAATCTAGAAACACTGAGATCATGTAATATAAAGGCATGCAAGTCTGTATTTGTGTTGGCCATTTGGTACTAAACTACTTCCTAAAACAAAGGACCTTAATTCTTGTTTTGAATGACCCAAATGAAAGAAAAGCCAAAAAAGTTGCTTTAAGCAGCTAGGGGATTATGTCATAATCCACTATTCACTAATCACTATTCATAGCCACTATTGTATAATATATATTCAAATCAATGGGATCTGCTTCAATTTTATGGGCACATTCACTTACATAAATGCCACTTTCCCTCTAGGCCCTAGACAAATTAGGTTTAATAATTTATTCATACCTCTTTATCTTATCAGAAACTCAGCAACTCTACAAAGCTTTCAGGATACTCATCTACCTAAAATGGGCTTTAAAAAGTCTGTGGGAAAATAGCATTAAAAGATAATGGAATTTTTCCACAAACTTTTTGAAGTCCATTGCATCTATTCTTGTGTCTACTTCTTTGACTTACGTGTCTCCTTCAGATGATTCTTGGCTTATTTATGCCTCTGCTTATTCCATATTTATGAGTGGCAATCCACAGCCTTTCTGAATTACTATCATTTTATGTTTGAGTCCTTTAGTTTTTTAAGTCTTCACTTTTGCTCGTATTTATTTTTGGTTTTTCACATATCATACATAGATATAGTCTTGCTCTACTTATGAATTTGGTTCTCTTTTGGCAGCACCTCAGTAAAAAGGTGTTTTTTAGGAAAGACATACATATTATTTTATCTAATAAGGAATTAGAAGGAAAAGGAGTAGGTAGCTTTTTAGTTGTTAGCTGCTAGCTATCTCTTCATTCTGTTGTTATGGATATGTCAAATTATCAGTGTAAAAAGAATTTTCTAGATATATTCAAGGGAATCTCTTTGAAGTAAGTCTTAACTAGTATACAACAGATCTACATTAAATTTTAAATAGATTATATGTAAAGTATTGGCAGTCTTCCCATTTATTTTTCAATCTTTGTATTGAAGAGTATAATATAAAATTTTGACAGTATAAACATTTTTTTAGCACTGTAGGATAACCCTGGACTGCTAACCCAAAGTAAGCAGTTCAGGGCTACCAGCCACTCCACTGAAACCTTACAGTGTCTCTGAGTCAGAACCGACTTGATGGCAGCTAACAACAGCCACCTTTTCCTACACGTTTATTTAGCACTTTAAATTGTCAAGAACACTGAAGCACTGACTTCCAGCATCTTGGTTTGATAGGTATCATCACTCTATGGTTTAGTTGGAAAAGTGTGTTTTCACTCAAAGGAAATTGGCTTAAAGATTAGTAGGAGAAATGTTTGTTACATGAATCAAATGATCAAGTATCAATTTTAGTGGTTGACTTTGGAATACATAGGCAAGGGCAGTATTCACATCCACTTCAATTTCAAACAAAAATAATTCATTTTAATGAAACAATTCTTCACATTGTTCAAAGCATTAATTAAGCCATTGTCTCCTAAGATGTATTTTCTTTACAAAGGAAAAATTTCCAATTTGGTTTTAAAAAAGGCAAACCAATAAGATACACTAGAGATTAGATACAGCCTATGCAGCCACATGAGAAATAGTTTCTGCTGCTTTGTTATTACACAGGTAGTTGCTTCCTTCAGCTAAAGCCTCGATTCTTGGATTTGTTTTATGCATATTGAGTTTTGTTCTATTATTTGGCAAGATATCATACTCCCTTGAGTCAGCTGTGTTCATTGGTCAGAATAAATTTCAGCATCTGATACCAATTCCATTAATCACAGACAAGCTTGAGTAAGTGAGTTAGATAATAGAAAGACAAAAATATCTGGTGAACAGTGAGCATTGTTTATGTATATATGCTACTCAGTAATACAGAAGAGATTTGAGATATTCTTTTGAGTTCAAGATATATGAAACTATCAAAAAAGTAAAGTCCTCTTATATGGAAGACTTTATCCCTAGGCAAAACATGCATGAAACATGTAATACATTATATTTTAATATTCATAATACCTCTACCCTGAAGTTTAAATTTTCCCATAAAGTTCCATGTCAAGCCATTTTTTGTCATTTCTTTGTTTATAAGTAACAGGCCAACTAGAAAGCTTTCACAAATTTCATGATTGTACAAACTTCGTTTCTAGAATTAAATTCTTAATTTAAAATCACCATCATGAATAAAAATGTTACATTTCAAAACAAACCCTAATATTTATAAGGCGTTCTCTCAGCAGCTGTAGTCCCTTTGGAGAAAATGACTTTATAAAGTTAAACACATTTATTTATATTTTCCTTGTGATCACTGAAGGAGACAGATTATAGCCTGAAGTCTCTGTTGCTTTTTCTACTTCTAATTGGTTTTTAATCATTCATTCACGTAACACATAGTTCTACAATTATTTCATTTTAATCAATTATGACTTGAACAATAAACTGGGACAAAGTTGGCCTCAATGACTAGATTATTTGGAGTGTTAGAAATCAAATTGTAATTCTAAAGTTTACTGGCAAACAATATTGTGATTAATATGCTATTTTAAATTTTAAACATAATGGCATATAGAGATGGAATAGTATAGACACAAAAATAATTCCATTATCGTTATGGTCAATAGAAATAGAACCTATTCATACTGCCATTTACTCTTTTATGTAATTTGAACCAACTTACATAATTTTAGTTTCATGAACTAACCTGATTATTTTTTATAAATGATATATATTACATGCTTTGTAAATCCATGTCCAAAAAGGTCCAATTTTGAGGATGAAATTCACAATTGTAATCAAAGGTATAAAAACAACAACAAAAGGGTCTTTTTAAAAACACCTTAATTATTAGTAATGCATATTTACTTCTTTAGTAATGCATATTTGCTTCTTAGTCATAACATGGAGCTGAAGAATATACTTTCATACTAGAAAATTAACTGGATAATTATGTAATGGTTGAGTATGTGCAAATATGCATGTGTGTGTGTGTATGTATGTATATATATATATATATATATATACATACTGCAAAATATTAATCAGAATCCACTTTCAGGTTGTTAAATAATTTCTCAGGGAAACCAATGAGAGATATACATATCCTTGTGGCCAAATCACAAATCTTTTCAGAATTAGTTCTTATAAAGGCAGTTTTGATTATGTTGATCCAAGTAATGCAGTGGTGGCAGGTTAGGTAAAGGCAAATTTTTGCTTCTGGTTTCTCCAAATGCTGTCTCACTTGATTTAGGTGGGCTTGGGAATACCCAAGAATTATCTTCCAGAGAATTTCTGCCATAAGAGTTGTGTTCCTGAAAGTCTGTACCATCACTAGGAATGGTTCTTTCATTATCTGTCCATGTTTGGAGAATTGCTTTCTCTGAAAAAACCTTTGTATCTCCTGGTAAAGGAGAAGATGTGGTATGAGAAAGAGCTCTGCCATTTGGTGAGAAGGGTGGATGTTTTTTGTATGTTGCAGTATAATTTGTCAGGTGCAGTTTTGTGCTGTCTCTCCCCAGGTCTTCATTGCTCCCTTCTTGGGCAAAGTCTGAAAAGAAAGCCTATGTTAGATAACAGTTTTCAAGGCATTAGTGATCTTAAACACTAACAAGTCATTAATTTGGCTGAATTCTAAAAATGAACATTTCCAAGTTAGGGTGATGATCGAAGCACTGTGACTTGGAAGTAGACCGTATGAGCTCTAATTCTGGATCAGATACGTAGTGACATGGTTGACTTGAGTCAATTGGCAATTCCAAATGTCACTTTCCTGACTAGAAAAAGAATATAAGTATTGCTGTCTTGCCAATGCCAGAACATTAGAAGATGAATGAAGAACTGCATTTAACAATTGAAAACTGACTTTAAAATCAAGTACTAACTCTGTTTTTTATCATGGCTCAGTGAAGACTTACAGACAGTTGATGTATCAATGGGGATTTAGAAGATGTTCTATGTTTTCATATTTATTTAAGCTAGTATAGAATTATTTTGTCTGGTCAAACCTTTCCTTCATAGGTGATCCAGAAATAAATTTTATTAAATTACATAATGTAAATTGTTAAGACCCGAATGAAGTTTTATAGATGTTTTTAATATATATTTAAAGCAACTTTATAAATACATTTTAAATAAAAGCTTTTAAATAAGTAATCCAGTTTCTTGTAAAATACATATAAATAGTAAATGTAAATTTTGTTCTGGTCACAACATACATCAACTGGAAAAAAAAGGCAAAAAAAAAATGTGTTTAGTATACTAAGACTGCTATTTAGCCACTGCCATCTTAATGGTACTATACGCTTTTAATCTCATCCAACTTCATGTACCATGGTAGAAAAGAAAAGAAATATATTTTAAGCTCAACAAGGATACCAAGTGTAACTAAGGCTTAGCTCACTGTGGTTTTAGAAGAAACAAATTTTAATAGTTTCTGGATAAAGGTTGGTTGTAGTCCAGGGAAAGATGATCTAGTCTTTGCTCCTCAAAGCAATGAAATCACTGGTAAGGACTAGTGACCTTGAGCTTGCCTATGTCTGTGAAACTCTGCTCAGGAATCTAAGAGTTCAAAAGAGCCAGAAGGTATATCACTTTGCCAGTTTGGAGGTACAAAACAATGAGCTTTGCCCAAGTATGAAAAAAACATTTTTCCTTTGTTATTTTTGGAAAGTTATACTTCTTTCATATACACACAGTCACACCAAAACTTCCTGTGAAATTATGTCCATCTCAATTTATGGTCTCTTCAACTATATCCCTGAGCACTGAGAAATTCAAAGGCAAACCTAACTAGAAACTAAGCTAAGGCCTGCTAACACCACATTGTAACATACACATTGTATTGCCTGATTTGTAAGTACTGCAAACCTGAAGGAATATATCCCCTTTTCTAAACTGTTTTCTTTCCCAATGTAAAACATTATTCTGTGGCAGTGAATAACCCAAAGAGGAGAACTATTCATAAACATAATTACATGATAATTATTATTTTTTTTTTATATATAATAAGTGACATCCCATTTCTTTAAATTTTAGGGAATTCAAACTTATATTGCAAAATTTTTGAGAATACACTTATTGAGCAATTTGAGGTAAAAATGCACTGATTTTTCTTTGAGGTACAAAAATAGCTTTGGTTAAGTAGCCACAACTAGTTATACAAAACTGAACAATTTTAACCAGTTTATTAAAATAATTAAATATAAAATGCAAAGCAACTGAAATGGTTTTGGGGCTGAATGGGGTGTGGAAAAAGCACTTAGTTTCTGTTTTAAGCAACGTGTCTTTTATGGAAAGAACAATGAGGTATATTTTTTAACAATCAACCAAAAAAACTGAAAACTATTATTTTCAAAACAATTTTGAAAGCTAGGTCTTCAGTGTATTTTGTAGCATGGGAATGAAAAAAAAAACATTTGGTATCCTTTTTCTTTGTAATATATGAAATAGTTGTGGTAAAAGGTCAACTAGAGCAAACTTAACACCTCAGCCTTATACACATAAGCAACACTTGGCTGAGAAAAAGCCACAAGGGGAAAAGAATACAGTACTGAAGAAAAACACATCAGCAACACCTTTATGTGTGAAGCTGACCAGTGTGAGACTGAAGCTAAAGCAGAGCATGGGTAGGCTTGGAACACAGTATATGTACTTTGGTTTATCAAACTCATTTGATGAGATTTTGATAAGATACTATAGCTACTTGCTCATCAAACAGTTTGGTTGGAATCAGTTGGTTTCCGGCAAATAGTGACTTGCCTTTCTTGACTGCAGATGGGGTTTTCAGTTTTCTCAGCAGTTCAGCTTGTACTTGAGTTACCAGATGTAAATTAGACATTTCTCTCTTCAGTTCCCAGTATACATGCTGCATATTATCACTGAAATACAGTTTTGTTTTTAAAAAGTTAGTGGTCATTATTCTCTTTATAGACAGAAGGCAGCAATATTAAAAAAGATCTGTACTGCTAAAATTAGTTTTGAGATGATACATGTCCTTCCTCTGATCCTAATTACACTGTACTAAACAGAATGTTATTATAAAGACATTTCCTACTCAACAAGTTTTAGATTTCTTCTCAGAATTGAGATTTTTTTTTGTACCCCAGTGTCCAGTGGTTTCAATGTAATAGTAAAGAATATGTTCTTTACTTGCTAATCTCAGCGACAATAAAGTTACATTCATTCATGTATGTTTTAAATTTGTCTCCTAGTCATTCTATTTTGATGATGTAAATTAAAACAATATGCCAATTGCTACATGTATACTCAAGCCCACATTAAAATAAATTGTAGGTTTCATGCATTCTATTTTTTTATGTTTGACTGAGCTGTCTCATACTGTTGGTTCTAAACCAATGTGACATGACAGCCCAAGATACGAAGAGCCAGATGATTTTCTGGTAAGAGAAAAGAAGCTAGAAAGGGAAGATTCAATGAAATAGAAGTAAAAGCTTCACAAATCCCTCTGATATTTTCACAGTGAAAGATATTTTATCTCAATTATCTGAGAAACGCTACTTAAATTAGGTACTTTAAACATGTTTATAGGTTTCAGTCTTCTAATAAACACTCTAATGTGTATGTGCATGATTGTCTCCTTTTGGCTCAACCTGTATTCTATTCTACAATGTTATCAATAACCATATAAAAATCAAAGTATACAAACGTTGCACCATACCGCCATTTGTATTCAACCATAAACAAAAACCTTTAAACAGACTTCCAGGGGAAAAGACTCTAGATATAACTAAATCTAAAACACCACTGTAATTAAGAAAGTAACAGATACATTAAAACACTGAATTAGTTAATAAAAAAATGGAATTAAGAGATAATGAAAATTTCCCATGAATCTTTTGAAGCTCCATACCTTTTTTTCCATGTGAAAATACTTTAATTCCACTTGGATTAACTTTTTAGATGTGGTGATGATGTTAAGTGTCGTGGAGTTGATTCTGAATCATAGCGATCCCATATATAGGGTTTCCAAGTAGTGGCTGGTGGGTTTGAACTGCTGACCTTGTGATTAAGTTGAGTGCTTATCCTACAGCACCACACCAGGCCTCCCATTTCTTAAATAGGAATTGTTTTATTTTGGGGGTGCTTAGGATTACTTTCATTTTAGTCTGTTATAACTTCATTGATTAGCCAGTTGTTAAGTGCTATGGAGTCAATTCTGTCTCATAGCGACCACTTCCAAGGAATGGCTGGTGGGTTTGAATCACTGACCTTGTGGTTAGCAGCCCAGTGCCATTATCCTAGGTGTTGTTGTTATGTGCCATGGTGTCGGTTCCGACTCATAACGACCTTGTTGTACAGGATTTCCGAGGCTGTAAATCTTTATGGGAGCAGAAAGCCTCATCTTTCTCCCACGGAACAGCTGGTTTGTTTTGAACTGCTGAACTTGCGGTTCACAGCCGGATTCATAACCACTACGCTAACAATCATAAGACTTTTTGCAGTTTTTGATAGGTGTGAAATAATTACCTAACAAAAATTAGTTAACCACCTTTGCTATACCAGTAAACATTTGCAATTTTGCTACAATAAGTTTCACAAAGGAACCGGTCTTAAATGTGAAGACAGATGCTGGTCCCTTGATGCAATTCTCGGACTCCAATATGCTTTCCAAAGAGTTACTCACATTACACAGCAGTAAATGTAATATGCATTAAATGTTCAGATGCTAATTCTTGCAGATAGATAGTTGTGAAATGAATAATAAACTTTTAAAATATCTTTCTAATTGGCAAGTGATGGGAAGTCAATAGGACTTGAGAAAAGGAAAAGTAAATGCCCAAGACAGTGTACGAGCAATGAAATACCAAGCACATCTAAAACTTATTCAATAGCTAGCCAAGCATGTAAAATAAAAGAGAAATAATTAAATAGAGATGTTAAAGCAGTGGTCAGTATATTTTCCAATTCAACTGAATGAAGACTACTTATAAATTAAGTTAAACTGAAAATTAGGTCACAGAGTAAAATATAGTCTTTTTGCTCTGTTTTCCTTAATGTCACCTGAATTAGAATTATAAGTTTAAGCTCTCCCTCTTGTGGATAAAAAAGTAATGACAGTGTTATTTCAGTTAAAACGCTTACTAGTGCTTTTCTAAGTATTGATGCTTTTCTCATATTGATGCTGCATAAGGTGTCCAAGGAGTGGCTGGTGGGTTTGAACAGCTGACTTTGATATTAGCACTTCAGTGCTTGCCTTACAGCACAACTCCAGGATGTAAAAAATTTATTTTTAACTTTATCTACTTGCACAAAATATTTAAAATATTTAAATGAGATTGGAAAAGACATGTCGTCATCCCACAAATATTGAGCAGTTTCAAACCAGCCTTATTATCTAGGTATTTGTAAGACTCTGAGGGCTTCAAAAAGTGTGTGGGAAAATTCCATTATCTTTTAATTCCATAATTCTATAAACTTTTTGAAGCCCCTTCTTATGTACACTGCTCCCTCATGTCCTCTCCCCTCAGTTCCTGCTGAGGGTCTTCCTCTTTATTGCTGACCCCCTTGACTAAGTATATCTACTTTACCAAGAATGATGTCTCCAGGAATCGGTCCCTGCTGATAACACGTCCAAAGAATGTAAGATTAAGTCTTGCCATCCTCGATTCTAAAAAGTATTCTCCTATATTTCTTCCAAGACAGATTTTATTTAATATGCTTGGCGCTGTGGGATAAAGCTCTGGACCACTAGGTCGGTTTGAACCACAAGGATGGTAGTTCAAACTCATCAGCTACTCCTTGCAAATCATACAAAGAGTCACTATGGCACTTATTAACAACAACAACACAATACACAAGCATCAGTATTTCTCTGGTCTTCCATATTCATTGCTCAGCATTCACATACATGTGGTAGTGTGCCTTCAAGTCAGCTCCAGCTCATAGTGACTCTGTTCCAGCTCACAATGACTCTGTATAGGGTTTCCGAGGCGACTAAAAATACCACGGCTTGGGGGGTTCAGGTGTTCCTTGGAAACCCTATACAGAGTCGCTAAGAGTTGGAACTAACTCCACAGCACATAACCACCAACCACACCATACTATTTCCTTAAGGGAGTAAACTTTTTAATTATTGGATGCCATTAATACTGTTGTTAAGAGTTATTTAGTCAGTTCTGACTCACAGCAACCCTCTGTAGGGTTTCTGAGGCTGTAGACCTTCACAGGAGCAGAAAGTCTCATCTAACTCCCACGGAACCAACGATAGTTTCAAACTGTTGACTGTGAGATTAGCAGCCTGACTAGTAATTACTATGCTACCAGAGTTCCTTAAAGAAACAGTATAGCAGCACCTTGTTTGCCAAGCCATATGATGATGATGGTAAGTGCCATCGAGTTGATTCTGACTCATAGCGATCCTAGAGTTTCTGATTGATTGGTTTGAACTACTAACCTTGCAGTTAAAAGTCCAGTGCTTATCCTAAAATGCCACACCAAGACTCCAGGTCCAGATGACAAAAGTTTACATATTTTTAAGAATTATTTTTCAGTTATTTGGAAAACTTTCCATTTTATTACACCCCTCTTTTTATTTCCTCTATCACGGCACTGTGGGTTACAGCACTAGACCATAAGGTTGGTTTGAACCACAAGGTCAGCAGTTCAAACTCACCAGCTGCTCCTCGGAAACGCTATATAGGGTTGCTGTGAGTTGAAACCAACTTGACAACAACAACAATCATGGTTGTATGATTGCTGTTGTTAAGTGCCATCTAGTTGGACCACTACTCATAGCAACCCTGTGCATAACAGAAACACTGCACAGGCCTGCACATACTCACAATTGTTGTTACACTTGAGTCCATTGCTGCTGCCATGGCACCAATCCGTCTTGTTGGTGGTCATCCTCTCCTTTGCTGACCCCTCCACTTTACCAAGCATGTCCTCCTCCAGGGACTGGTCCCTCCTGATAATATATCCCAAGTATGAGAGACAAAGTCTTGCCACCCTGGCTTCCAAGGTGCATTCTGCCTGTACTTAAGTCAACATAGATTTGTTTATTCTTCTAGCAGTGCATGGTACTTTTAATATTCTTCTACATCATAGCTCAAATGCATCAATTTTTCTGTGGTCTTCATTATTCACTGTCCATGTTTCACATGCATATGAGGTTACTAAAAATACCATGGCTTGCATTAGGGGCATCTTACTCCTCAAACTGGTATATTTGCTCTTTTTAAAGAGGTCTTGTGCAGTATATTTTGCCCAATGCAATATGTCATATGATTATTTGACTGCTACTTCCATGAGTGTTGAAGCTGATCCAAGCAAAATGAAGCCTTGAATAACATCAGTCTTTTCTCCATTTATCATGTTATTTATTGGTCCAGTGGTGAGGAATTCAGTTTTCTTTATATTGAGGCACAACCCATACTGCAGGCTGTGATCTTTGATGTTCATCAGTAAGTATTTTAAGTCCTCTTCGCTTTCAGTAAGCAAGGCCTTTCTCCAATCTTGATGCCATGTTCTTCATATAATCCAGCTTCTCAAACTACTTGCTCAGCATATAGACTTAAATACGCATGATGTAAGAAGACAACCCTGGTGTACATCTTTCCTGATTAAACCATTCAGTAACCCCTTGTTCTGTTCTAAAAGCTACTTCTTGGTCTATGTACAGATTCCTCATGACAACAATGAAGTATTCTGGAATATCCATTCTTCACAATGTTACCCATAGCTTGTCATGATCCACACAGTAAAAAGCCTTTGTATAGTCAATACAGCACAAGTAAACAACTTTCTGGTATTCTTTGCTTTCAGCCAAGTTCCATCTGACATGATATTCCTCAGTCCACATCCTCATCTGACTCTGTTTTGAGCCTCTGGCAGTTCCCTGTCAATGTACTGCAGTCATTTAATTATCTTTAGCAAAATTTTATTTGCATGTGATATAAATGATATTGTCTAGTGATTTCTGAATTCTACTGGGTCACCTCTTTTGGTATGGGCACAAATATGGCTCTCTTCCAGAAAGTTGTCCAGGTAGCTGTCTTCCAAATTTGTTAAGCATAGATGAGTTAGTATTTCCATGCTGCATCAGTTTCTTGAAAGATTTCAATTTGTATTCCATCAACTCCCAGAGCCTTATTCTTTGACAGTGCCTATAGTGGACCTTGGACTTCTTTCTTCAGTACCACTGGCAGATGATACAACCTTGCTTGCTGAAAGCGAAGAGGATTTAAAATACTTATTGATAAATATCAAAGACCACAGCTTTCAGTACGGAATGCACCTCAATGTAAAGAAAAAAATCCTCAACACTGGACCAGTAAATAACGTCATGATAAATGAGAGAAAAGATTGGTATTGTTTGGTACTCTCAAAGACTTCATTTTGTTCAGATCAACCATCAATACTCATGGAAACAACAGTCAAGAAATCAAACAAGGTATTGCATTAGGCAAAACTGCTCACAAGACCTCTGTAAAGTGTTCAAGAAGAAAGATGTCAGTTTGAGGACTAAGGTGCACCTGACCCAAGCCATGGTATTCTGAATAGTCTCAGATGCACGTGAAACTTGGACAGTCAATAAGGAAGACCGTGGAAGAATTGATACATGTGAGTTATGGTGTTGGAGAAGAATACTAAAAGTACCATGGACTGCCAGAAGAACAAACAAATCTATGTTGAAAGAGCACAACAGAATGCTCACTGGAAGCCAGTGTGGCGAGACTTTGTCTCTTATACTTTGGACACATCATCAGGAGGGACTGGTCTCTGGAGAAGCACATTATGCTTGGTAAAGTGGTGTGTTAGCAAATAGGAGGAAGACCCCTAATGAGATAGACTGACAATAAGGCAGTAGCAATGTGCTCAAGCTCGGGAATGGTATTTTGCTTTGTTGTGCATAGGGTTGCTATGAGTTAGAACTGACTCTTGGCACTTAAAAATAAGAAACTATTATCGAATGGGAGGATCAATCTACTTTTAATTCATGCTTACTCATAAGGTGCAGTCGAGTTCCAATGTAATGAGAAGTGATTTCACCAAAGGCAAACCCCTGCTGATGACACTGGACTCCAGTCCTTAACCCATTTGCTTACCTAGCCCATGTTGTGGCTGTTCAAAAGCACTCCTTCAGAAACCAGCAATGCCTCCGGAGGGAAAAGGGCCTCAAAAAACTAGGCTTTCCTCCTTGAATTTTAATCCTCCTTCAAATCCTGGCTTAGAAATTATTCACCATCTTGTAAATTATCTGATATTTTCAAACAGATTATTTGGGGGGGGAGGGGTGACATGCTCAATTTTTAATGTTATTCTCTGTGGAACTGTTGACTCAAATTATCTAATCCCCCATGAACAGAAGTCTCAGTCTATATTTTGTAATTCTAAAAATTACACAGCCCTTTTATTTGTTCCTTGCCTCTTTCCAAAATTATTTAAAGCATGGTTATATAATATTAACAAATATAACACATTAATAAGAGGACATCTAGGTTAAATGACAAAAAGAAGACAAGCTTAAATGACATAACATGGGTCATTTTATTATCTAAGATGGAAAACAGGTCCTTTAGGACAAAGTGCCTTCTCTACAACCTTGAGAAAGAGTTTACACAGACATCATACTAAACGCATTGTTGCTGTTGTTGTTTTTAAAAGGATAAACTTGCTTGCTGTAAAAGTTGAAGGCATAACTGAAACACAGTTCAAAAGGTGGGGTTGATTAGTTGTGACCTAGACTATGTGGCCCACAAAGTTCAACATCTGCTGGTTGGCCCTTTGGGTGAGAAAGCTTGCCAACCACTAACTAGTATGGAAGAGCGGGCTGGATATCACTACCTCCAATTGTTTTCCTTAACTGATCATTTCTTTCATTTCTGATTTTGAAGGGAACAGGTAGCAGATCATTCACTTTGGAAGCCCAATGAACAAACAGAAGATATAACAGTGAAATCAAATCTGTATTTTTCATTGGACGGGTATGTCCAGAGAGAGAGAGAGATACGATGCTAATACAGCAGAAACCAACAATGTCAGAGAAATTTAAAGCACAGAACTGAAGTAAATATATTTAAGGAAAAAGGGTTGAAGCAAAGTACTCTGATAACTACTTTTGTTATTATCACAATAGGATGGTTCATGCTATACAAAAGACTAACGGATACACGGATATTACTAGAATGTATACCTCTTTAAGTACACAGTCAGGATTTCTCACAGAATACTTCTGCATAACCCTAGCAGGCTTAACATTATATTTAAAATACTACTGAATGTTCAACATTTTTTAAGGGATCACAGTATGAACTTTTCTACTAATCAAGTTCAAGGTAATTGTTAAATAACAGTTAAATATTTCAAATACACATATGGTAGTCAGAGAGCACATTCAGAATTCATTCCTTTCTTTTAAGATGAATTCATAACATAAATCTAGGTACCTATACAAAGTGGTCTACAGATGAAAATATACTTTTGTTTAAATGTTGAAGAATGTTCATACCTTGAAATGCTTAGTCTCTGGAGATCTCTGCCCTTCAGATTGTCTTCTTGAGACAAATCCTGTCATGGTTTAAAAAACAAAACCTTAAAATGTTTTAATTTTCACATTCTATATTCTCAACACTTTATTGCCAAAGACATTTTCATCTTTTAGAGACTACGTCTGTAATTATACAGCATTGCTGGTGTTGTTGTTACGTGCCATTGAATCGGTTCTGACTCATAGAGATCCTGAATAGGATTTCCAAGGAGTGGCTGGTGGGTACAAACTGCCAACTTTGTGGCTAGCAGTCCAGTGCTTACTGTACACCAAGACTCCATTATACAGTGTAAAGCTAATTTCTTTCATTCAATTTCAATTAAATATTTTCAACCTATATCAGGTATTTCTAAAACACTTCCAATTATTAAAAGGCATTCAAGGTTTCATTTTCTTTATTGCTCCCAGGGAAAATATTTTGGATTCCCACATAATGTGTTTCTGAAGACACTAAACTGAAATCTACATTTACTAAGACTTTATTTATCAAAAATAAATAAATAATTTTAATTAAGTTACTATTTTTTCAAGATACATCTGAAGGAATTCCATGGGAATTATATTGGTGTTTCGTTCTTATTGTAAAAAAGGGTAAAAGTGTAACAAGTTACTATTCAAAAGTTGCATTAAGTTTCTTCCTTCCAAAGACAAGAATATAACCTGCTATCAATTATAGTGCAACATTTAACTTTTAGTCTTAAAGCAGTTTATGTAGTAGTGTTGTTATTGTGAAGTGTCATCAAGTCAGTTCCAACAACAAACCCCATATAGGGCTTCCAAGGAGGAAATGGTGAACCACCTACCTAAAATTCTGATCATCCAGTAATATTTTAAATGTAATTTTAAGAAGCCAGGCTATGTAGAGAGGTATTCTGTGAGAAATCCTAACTGTGCACGTAAAGAATTATATATTCTACTAATATAAGTGTTTATTAGTACCCTGAAATGGAAAAGTAAAATATAAAAAATACTCTGCATTATAGGCATTAACACATTTTGGTTTTGATTCTCCAGAAAAAGTCAACTAAACACTGTAGAAATCAACAATTAAACTGCATTTTAGTGCATCCTAGGTTGTTTTTGTTAAGTGCCATTGAATCAGTTCCAACTCATAGTGGGTGTGGGTTTGAACCACTAACTCTGTGGTTAGCAATCCAGGACTTATCCTACACATTGCCGTATCAGGACTCCTACTGAGGCGGGGGACAACTGGCCCTCAAGTTAGGAGAGGTTTTGCCACGAACAAGGCACAGACTAGGCATTTTTCTTCCCTGTTCTCCAAAGGAAATCAAAGAAGTAGATCAAGTTCATTTCAGTTTTCTTTTATCATTTAAAAAAAAAAAATTGTAACTAGTAATCTCCATAATTCTTACAGTCAGTTATA